ACAAACCAACAGCCAACATCATACTAAATGGACAAAAACTGAAAGTTTTCACTTTAAAATCAGGAACAAGTCAAGGATGTCCATTGTGACCACTCCTATTCAATAAGTTCTGGAAACATTAGCCAGCGCAATTACACAAGAGAGAGAAATAAAAGGAATAAGGATAGGAAAGGAGCAAGTAAAGTTATCACTATTTGCAGATGACATGATAGTTTACATGGAAGCCCCCCAAAATCCACCAGAAGACACCTTGAATTAATCAAAAAATTCAGCAGTGTAGCTGGATACAAAGTCAACACCCAAAACTCAATAGCATTTCCATACAAAAACAACAAACAGACTGAGAGAGAAATTAGGGAAACTATACATTTCACAATAGCATCCAAGAAATTAAAATACTTCGGAACCAATCTACAAAAGAAGTAAAAGACCTATTCAATGAAAACTACAGTACTCTGAAAAAGGATATCCAAGTGGATTTCAATAAATGGAAAAATATTCCTTGCTCACACTTAGGAAGAAATAACATTGTGAAAATTGCCATACTACCAAAATTGCTGTACAGATTCAATGGATTTCCCATTAAACTACCATTAGCATACCTCACAGATCTGGAGAAAATATTCCTTAAATTCATCTGGAACCAGGAGAGATGTAGAATAGCAAAGCAATCCTGGGCAATAAATACAAGTCAGATGGAATCACACTCCCTCACCTGAAATTATACTACAAAGCTATATAAATATATGAAAAAGTCAAACACCACTTCTTATTAGAGAGATGCAAATTAAAGCATCTCACCCCAGAAAGAATGACTACCATCAAGATATCAACCAAAAACAAATGCTGGTAAGGATGTAGGGGACAAGGATTTCTTCTCCACTGTTAGTAGGAGTGTAGACTGATACAACCTGTGTGGAAATCAGTGTAGCAATGCCTCAAAAAACTAGGATTGGAAGTCCCATTCTACCCAGCTATTTCCTTACTGGGTATTTTCCCAGAAGAATTGAAAACATCATACCACAGCGATATATGTGCACCCATGTTCATAGCAGTGCAATTTGTAATAGCTAAATCTTGAAAACAACCCAAATGCCCATCAGTTGAGGAATGGATAAAAGGAGATGTGATATTTCTATACGATGAGATATTACTCAGCTGTAAAGGAAGATAAACTCAAGGCTTTTATAGGTAAATGAATGCAACTAGAGACCATAGTCATAACTGGAATAAGTCAGACCCAAATGTATAAACATCCTATTGTCTCCCTAGTGTAAGAAACTGAAAAAAAATGTAGAATAGGTATTGTGAAAGAGAAAGAAACTTCTAGGGAATGAAGGAGAAAAAATTATATATATATATATATATATATATATATGCACAAGAGTGCTAAGATAATTGTACTACTAATTTCTATTGGTTTATTGAAAGGAACAGTTAATGCTTATATCTGGTAATTTGAAAAACTACTTTGATGATAATAGTATGCAATGTAACAACCATTGTGGATTTCCTATCACTTTGTTTTGAAATTCTGTATCATTTTTAATCTTTTTTCTATTTTTTAGTTTCTTAAAAAAAAATTGAAGAGTCAACACTTGCTTGCATTGTTTTCTGTGTGCGTGTTTTCCTCTCACAACAATGAGGGGTTCAAATATCAGAAACTACCAAAGAATCAATTTTAGTGGTGTCCAAAATGAAAGCCACCTATTTTAATTCACACATTAAACCACATATTCTGTCCATTAAGCAGTAGCTCCCATCAACCACTTGAATGGAGAGAACAGGAGGTTTGACCCTTGAGAGACGAGGTTGTTTTTCTCTACAAGAATACTGGGATATGTACTTTCAAATAAGTTTCTTTCAAAGTCATCTCTTTAAATTGGGGCCATCCTACAGTGATTCTGATAGTGTTGCCATTAATTCCAAATACATTTGGAAACCTATTTAGGCAGCACCTGCAAATTAGAGTTAATATAGTGCAGGTGCATGAGCTAATGTACGTGAACATGCATATGCAAACATACACACATTTTATTACCTTATAGTAATACAGCCAGCAACCTTCTTTTTAAATTCCTCTTTTTATTATCTCTTCATTTTCCATAGCCAATCTGTTCAAATGGATACTCTGAAGACTACCACTTCCCTTCTCTTCCTTGTACACCAAATGTCTATGCTATTTAAACATCAGACATAAAAGCCAGATGTGATGGACTACGCTTTACACATACCAACCTAAGAAATGACGGATCTCTTAACTTCAAATACACTTTAATGATGCTGAAATAGTATCCATAACCTTTGGAAGAATAATATAAAAGATTTCCAGGAAGAGATACAAATTTCTTCTCATATTCTTTTGGAATGTGATAATAGTTTTTGTTTCAAATGTAATTCTGTGAGCTCGGCTCACAGAAGAGCTTTTCAAAAGTATCTGTATTATTGTTTAAGAATGAGACAGGCGTATTTTTAAAGTGTATATTTTACCAAATGTTCATCATTCAGAATTACAGATTTCTTTAATCTATTTATGGATTTTATATTAACTTCATTATGTCTTAACTATATTTTGTAGAAAATGATGTAATACTTGGGTTGCACCCCTTTATCTTCAGAATTCTGTAAATTGGTACATTATTAGAACATCTATCTATTATTGAAGACCTTGTAACCTGAAAACTGATATATCTTCAAAAATCAGGTTGAAATGGCCTTGATCTCATATAGCTTAGCTTTCGTTTGTCATCACCATTGAAATCAAACTTAGTATTGACTCAGTAAATGTAACAACACAATCAAAAGGAATACCTTCTGTGTATGGGCTATATACTGGGCAAATTTTACCCTACAAGTGGTTATCCCAATGCAAGATTCTTTACTTCCCTGAGATCTCATTTATTCATTTTATTGTATTCTACTTATTCCATTTATTCATTTCCACATGAGAACATCTGTATTGAAGGGGCGAAATAATATGCTATATATGAAAGGAGCTAACAACATGACACCCAAGAATTTGACACCCAAGATTTCCAATACATTTTCAATGGATGAATAAATGTACATAACCTTACTTCAGTAATAAGGTTATGGTTTGGAAATTTATATACACTTTGCTTAGACCCTTCATTCCCCCTTGCCTATGATTTTATCTCTTAGGGTGGATGCTTTTATTGAAAAATGAAGGTCTTATGAATGAGATCTAATTTTACCTGCTAAAAATATCTCTGAACTGATTGTATCTTATTAGCAATATGCAATTTACTGAATAACTTTTTAATCTAAAGTAGCCAACCTCTATTTGGTTAAAAATATCTGTTAAAACTTGTACTCAGAAAGGGTGATGGAAAGTGCAAGAACCAACCTAAGTTACAATTTAATTTCTAGCCCAGTCTTATGTACTTAGCAAGATCTCAGAGCTCTTAACTAATAGAACGCCTTAAAATTTTTAAAAGAAAATAGGTAAATTCTATCTTTCATTCTCATCTAATATTTTTCATACTCTGCCTCCATTAACCTTCTTGTGACCACATTGTCACAAAAGAAAATATTCTATTGTTTTACAGGTTCAATTAAAGAATTTGTCTGGCTGGTAATCTGGCCTTTGGAAAAAGCCAAAGAACACAGGTAAACAAAATCATAATTAAAAAGATTTTATTTTTAGCTAGCCATTGATGAGCCACTCTCCCTGCTCATGAGACGAGAACGGATCACAGAGCTACCATGGAGAGATAGTTGGTCACGAAACTCTGAAGCCATGAAGTAATAGAGAATTGGATCAAAAAGGCAGCAAAGACTTGCAAGGCAAAGACAAAAAGGATGGAAATACAGTGCACTTCTGACAATGGAACAAGTGCTAATGATGGTTTCTTTTACCATGGTATAAAAAATAAAGTTAATATGATAGGGAGTGAAACAGATAAAGAAGACTGCCGCACACATGAAAACCATCCGAAGTGCTTTTTGCTTCTCACTGTCCCCTTGAAAAGCCTTTGGTGGTTCTCTTAAAGATGTAATAGTTTTCCAGGTACAACATGCAATGATAATTACTGGAATCACAAATCCGGCAAGTTCAGCAATTGTAATCATTGTCACCAAAACCACGGCATTCATTTGCTTGTAGCCAAGATCAGCAAAGCAGGAGTCAGTATTGTTGCCTAAATTCGTGCTTCTGAGGATGGGAAATGGCAAACAGGCAGTCCCCACAATGACCCAGATGATAGCACTGATGCTTACATCATACCTACGCTTCCAGTTTCTGGCTCTGAACGGCTTGAGGAGAAAGAAACACCTCTGAAGGCTGATGCATGTCAGGAAGCAAATGCTGGCATACATGTTGAGATACTTCAGGTAAAAGCACAGTAGACAAACGGCCCTCTGGAAAGGCCAGTGATGGTTGATATAATAGTAAATACGGAGGGGTAAGGACAGCACGTGAGCAAGGTCAGCCACAGAGAGGTTGATCATGAAAATGATGGCTTTGTTTTTCTTTCCAATGAAGCGGCACAGAACCCATAAGGCTGCACTGTTGGCCAGAAGACCAGGGATGAATATGACAATATAGGTAGTTGCATAGAGAGGGTACTGGAATTTCGTGTTAGTGACATTGCAGTTAGTCTCGGTGTTGCTGGTACTGTTGCTACCCATCTTGAATGCTTCAGTATATTCACCAAGGTATGTCATGGATTTTCTATCTCTGCTCAAAACAGAAAGAAGAATAAAATGGTTAACTAGTTCTTAATCAGCATCCAGGTACTTTTTTTACATTTAGAGAGGCAGAATATTAAAATTAGAAGGGATCTACTTATAGAATAAAATGTAAAGGCTTAAGCAAAATTTAGGACTGATCCAGTCTCCCAGGAAACCAATTAGGGAATAATGGAATTGTCTCACAACTGCTTTCTCAGATTCCCCAAGTTAAATCTTGCCAAGGAGGTTGTCTTGAAATATTGTCTTGTTCTCACAAAAGCAAAATCAATGTAGCATTTGAATATATTTCTTTTTCCTCGGAGATGTCCTTAGCGAAATACCTGGTTAGTGTGTTGCTCACTCACAATCACAGTGGAAGAAATTCAGCCTCATTTTTGGTGGGCCTTGCTTCTCCTTTCTTCACCTTACTCATTGGGCCCTAACCTCCCACAATGAAATGGCAGCATATAGAAAATGGCCCTCCTACTTGAGCCTACATTATTTTATTATAATACCTGTGACTCTGAGGTTCTCCTGCAGTTCATCCCCCTTGGGTTATGTCTCATTCTACATTTACTTAAAAAACTTCAATGTACAAATTTATAAACTGAACTAGGGTATTTCTCCCCTTGTCATTTTGGAAGAGAATAGACCAATTTCTCCCTCTAAGAGGACCATAAAGCTGGTATGGCATCATCAGCATGACATATTTTCCAGCAGCTACAGTGAACATTGCTGAATGCACCTGGAAAGCAGGACTACCAAAACAATTTCTGAAAGCAATTTAAGAGTTAATGTTTTCATTTATCAAAGATATAGTTGCAGGAAGAAAACATACTGACACTTTTAATCATATTGTGTGCTTTAATAGGAGCTTTTATTATGTATTATATAAGGGCAGGAAGAGAGTAGGGTAAATTTTAGGGCTTCTCAAGGTCTGGGCATGTAGTTGTACAAATTGCAGATGATAATGGAAGGACAGAAATAGACTAAATCTTTTATTTTAACTATTTTGTAAATGTTCAGACTTAGAAGGATCTTTAGAAATTATTTAACTTGGCCTCTAATACAGGTAAAAGAAGCAAAGCACATAGAGGAGTTTTTCATGTCCACATAGCTATTAAAGGGAATCTCTGGGACTTGAAGTGCAAGGACAAGGGGCCTATTATCCAGAAAAAACCTCCTTCTCATATTTTCCTCACAAAGAAATGCTGCATACATACATTCTATTGTCCTGAGGGAATGATTATTGTTCTTAGGGCTGCAAGTAAAATAATTAAGTAGTGAGTTTGTTCCTCAGGTGGGGTAAGTGTTTTTGTTATTATTTCTTTGCTTTGTTTTTTGTTAATTAAATTTACAACAACAAAGATGCGGTGTGGTTTTGGAGTCTCCTCATTAGGGGCATAATGGCTTTTTATAACATGTTCAGCCCCACTCCCATACATGGAGTTGTGATAAAAGAACAATATCCCAAGTGATTAATTCAAAGACAGAAAGGGAGTGGTGGCATGAGCTGCCATTATTCTAAAAGGTATTTTCACTTTCCCTTCTTTTCTCTTTCCCTCACCCTACTTAGCCAATCATCTTTGATATGTCTGAAAGAGACATTTAGTCATCTTGCACATATATGTATGACTTACAATAGAAGGTGGAGGAATGCTCAGTGTGAAAAGGCAAGAAATCATCATGTTTTGGCTATCAAACATGAATCCCAGAATCAGCAAGTTCCCTCATATATTATCTAATTTAAATTTCTCAAATGTTTTAAGAGGTACAACTACTATAACCCTCAGAATATAGATGACAAAATTGAGGTATGGACAGATGTAGTAAATTTTCTTAGGTAAGAAATCTAGAAAATTAGAATGATGGGATTAACCATAATGCATGCATTGTGGTTTGGATCTAGAATGCCCCTTACCAATGATTCATATATTCATAACTGGACTGATGGAAAGTAATGTAATTATGGAAGGGGGTACTGATACATCTGACTTCCTGTTAAGAGGCGGGACCTGGTTAGAGGTAGGTCACTGGGGCCATGGCCTGGAGGGGTAGATCTCCCTCTCTGACTCTTCCCTTTTCTCTGTTCCTGATTACTATGATGCGAGCAGGTTTCCTCTATCCAGGCCCTTACACCATGCTGGTTTCTGTGGTAAGGCTGCTGAACTTGGACTGAAACTTCTGAAATAATGAAGCAAAATGCACTTGTCTTCCTTTAAGTCGTGGGTGCTGGATATTTTGTCCCTGTGTTGAGAAAAGTGACTGGGACAGCAAGTTTGTTATTTTCTCTGTACCAGTCCAAATAACAAAAATAACTAAGAAGAGGGTTTGCTAGATTCACTCTGCCACTGACCTCTTCCTGACTAAGATCATCTACTTAGTAGAATGCAGCTAGCTAAACTGCCATTCATTTTGACATGTAAAGAATACATTATGGTAGAGCTTTTCTAATTCCATAGTAATGCACTATGATCTTATGACACCAAGTCTCCTCAAGTTTGGCTGTCAGGGTAGAAGTAAACACCTGTCCTGATGTGTGCCAACCATTCCTCCCCAGTACCCATTTTGCCTTCAGTATGGGCACTGCATCATACATTATGATGCAAAAGCTGAGAGTAAAATTACAAGTGCATTTCAATTATAAGAACTAAAAATAACTCACCCTCACTCAAACCAAACTGCCATTTATGCACTGACAAAAGTTTTTGCATTAACAAACATAGTTATTTGTTTTTGCTTCCTTGATATAAATAGTTTCACTTATTAAAGGAATATATTTAATCACACCTCTGTGTTATGTAACAGAGCCTAATCTGTGAAAACAGCAAGCTAGAGTTCAAGTTCACACCTGTTTTTTTGTTGTGACTTTATATCCTTCTGAAATTCATAGTTCAATGTGAGGTCATTCTTTCTCTGCTTTCCAAAACTTTTTCTTTCTTGCAGACTGAAAGAAGGTAGGATATGTGTTTCCTCGACATCTTTCAGTGAAAATTACGTATAAAATCCCCTTGTTGGAAAGCAGTAAGCAGAATTTATTTTAGATTGGGCAGAAATATAGTCTTTTAGAGGAAACACTTAGCTTGTTATGAACAATCTGTGTCACTCAGAAATTTAAGAAAGGAAAACAATCTAAGAAAATGCAAAGTAAGCTCCTTGTCTCTTTGTCCATCTCTGTCCATCTCTGTCTCTGCCTCTCTGTCTCTCTGTCTCTGTGTCCGTCTGTCTGTCTGTCTATCTCTCTCTCTCTCTCTCTCTGAGTGATTCACCACCCATGTTGTATTGCCAATCTTTCTCCCTCTCAATCTAGACACATTTTTGGTTTCTTTCTCAAAAAGATATGTGATATTGGTGGTTCACTCCTCAGTCAGTCCTTTCCTTTCAGTCAGTGACGTGGTTCTCTTCCCAGACACTCAACCTGAAAATTGAAGAGTCTCTTAAACCCGTCACTGTATTTACACCCTATATATAGTCATAAATCACATGATTTTCACTTCTAAAATTTTTCCCAATCCACATCTTCCTCTTTTCACCATCTTAATGCAGGCAAGCATCATCACTCTTCTTTGAATACTGCCATATGGTAGCTGCCAAACTGGCCTGCTTATACTGCAGTCCTATCCCCTATAGTAACCTACCTATACTCTGTCTAATACTAATATTATCATTTAATGAAGACTGCCACATATTTATAGGTTAGGTACTTTTTGTGTATTATTTTGGTGTTCCTCACAGCAGCCCGACGATTTTTTTATACTACAGATGAGACTGTTGAGGCTCAGAAAATTTAAGCAAATTGCACTGAAGCAAAAATACTTGCATGGGGTAAAGAGTGATGGTGTCTTATAATTGGAAACTACAATTATTTCCATACTCCATTGTCTTTCTCATCGCATTTATCAAATTAGTTGAAATTCTATTAGTTAGATTAGTACTCCTTGTTGTCAGGAGAAATGCCATCTCTTGATCCCTTGTAAACTTTTTCACATGTAGCCCATGAGATCCTCCTTTAATATGTCTTATCATTCCTTTATTTAAATTTTTTACTGGTTCTCACTTCTTGTTAGCATTAATTCTAAACTTCTCCTTGTGGCCTAAAGGTCTTATCTATTATGGCTTCTGCATCCCTAGAGATCATTTAATTCCAACTCTTCCTCATTTTTCTCTCATTTAAACTACACAGAGAGGCTTTAGTTCTGAGCATGAGCCAGGTTTTTTATATTATAAAGACTTCAGAAGAAACTGTCAATGAGTCCTTGGTTGATCAGCTTTGTATGTCTATATCTGTTTCCATGAGAAACCACTTTGAAGATATCAATATGTAATACAACAAGCATTGTTAATTCCCTACCACTCTGTTTGTAACTCTGTACTGTCTGTACTGCTCCTTTGCTATTTTGTAAAATGTCGACTGTCTGTTAATATTTTCCTCCTTTTATTTTTAAAATAAAAAAAAAATCAAAAAGACTTCAGTACCTGTATATGTTGTTCTCTGTGCCTGGAATTCTCTGTATCTAGATCTTTCCATTTCTGTCTCCTTTTAATCTCAGTTTTCAAGAGACACTCATATCCAACACTATCAAGAATATCTTAAATATCATTACATATTTTCATACTCTCTATCCTTTTACTTTATTGCATGAACATTCATAACTCAGATGTTGTTTACTTGTCTATAGGCTATTTCCCTTGCAGTAGTGATAAATTCATAAGCATCACAAAAGTATATCTTTCACTCATCAGTATATAACCAAAACCTAACCTCCCAACAACTAACCATTCAAAGAATATTAGTATAATTGGACTGAATTGCATATACAGTACAAAGTTCCTATTTAAAGTCTGGGTAGAAGTATTTACCAAAATAATGAATACCTTCATATAACAGATAATAGATTTCTGCTACCTGCTGTTTCCCTAAAATGCTACCTTGTGATTAGCATCAATATTTCCTGCACCAACATTTCCTACTTAAAAACATGTGGTTGTTAGGTTTAATTATATCAA